CCCTCTGTGTTCCCATCTCTTCTTTAAAAAAAAAAAAGTTGGGGATTCTCCGTCTCCCTCTCTCTCTGCCCCTTCCCCCACTCATGCTGTCTTGTCTCTCTCAAAGTAAATAAATAAACTTTAAAAAAATAAAATAAAAAAAACTTACACCCTTTTTACACTGACAGTTTAAAGAATTTTGGGGAAGACACAAATGTTCTGACCACAGCAAAGGGAATAACGGGTTGACTAAAGATCCAAGGGAAGAAGTTCCGAAAAAGAGTTTAGGATTTGAGGGGCACCTGGGTGGTTCAGTCAGTTAAGTGTCCAACTTCAGCTCAGGTCATGATCTCATGGTTGGTGGGTTCAAGCCCTGCACATGGCTCTCTGCTGTTAGTGAGAGCCTGCTTCAGATCCTCTGTCTCCCTCTCTCTCTCTCTGCCCCTTCCCTGCTGGTCCTCTCCCTCTCAAAATTAAACAAACATATGGGGCGCCTGGGTGGCGCAGTCGGTTAAGCGTCCGACTTCAGCCAGGTCACGATCTCGCGGTCCGTGAGTTCGAGCCCCGCGTCAGGCTCTGGGCTGATGGCTCGGAGCCTGGAGCCTGTTTCCGATTCTGTGTCTCCCTCTCTCTCTGCCCCTCCCCCGTTCATGCTCTGTCTCTCTCTGTCCCAAAAATAAATAAAAAACGTTGAAAAAAAAATTAAAAAAAAAATTAAATAAACATAAAAAAAAAGAAAAAAAGGAGTTTAGGATTTGAGTGTTAGACCTTCCCTCAGAGCCCTAGGGTCCCCAGGGGCTGCCTGATTGCTACAAAAGCCTATCTCAGGAGAGAAAAGTTGTCCAGACCTGGGTACCCAGGTCAAACATTGCCTGAAAGTCCCACTTGGGGTCCAGAGAGTTAGACAATGGGGAAAACATGCTTCAGAACTTCCTTTGTTTCTCTGGGTTTTTTCCACTTGTTTTTTGTAAGTTTCTGCCTTTCATGGTAGGAGCTTTCCTCAAATGTCTGGGACCAAAAAGCCAGGTGCATGGATGGGGCTTCACTGAGCTTCCCTAAAGGGTGATGTCACCGTTCTCAAAGTTTCCAGGGCAGATGTCTGCTTAATTCCCCCTGGTAGGCAGGGTCTCGTCTGTGCTTGGGTCCCCAGGGCACCAAGGTCTCAGCTTTTCCACTGAGTTAGGAATGGTCATCAACTGTCCAAGCATTGCCTCTGCATGGCTTCCTCTCCCACCCTCTTTGTCCTTATTTTATTCTTTTGTGATCATTTTATTTATTTATTTATTTATAAATCTTTATTTAAAGAGAGAGAGCATGAGCAGGGGATGGGCAGAGAGAGGGAGACAGAGAATCC